ACATGCAGCTCACTTTGACTTAGAATTCTGGTCTGTCACATTAAGAACCAGCTAAAACTTGTTTTCTTCCCAAAATATTTATATTTTTCCTGTTTTGTTTGTGTTTAGTGTGAAAAAAATGTTTTGATTGTACTTCTATGAAATTTTGTAAGTGCCGTCTTGTTTTACTGCAGCTTATTTACTCCCGATAAAGATTCAAAATGCAAAAACACGACACACCAGTAATGTGTGCACTATCAAAGTTTAGAAAACCTCGTTAAAAAATGGATTTTTCCATAGGGTTCAGCCTGATAATTTTGTCTCTAATTAGCAGTAGTTAGTAGCAATCATGACACCCCATAAATGGAAAATGTTTTCTTATTCAGAAGTGTTTTATTTAGTAGTCTGCTTTTATTTGAAAAGCAAAGATAATTAGTTGTGCCGAGCTTTCACCTCAGACCCCTGAAAAACCTGCAGCATCCGATAGAAGAGTGGTCCTTGGTCATTAAATACCAAGTCACAAGAGAGACTTCGTAATTAATGATTCTAGCTCTGGATTGATCCTTTGATGATAAACGAGGCCATCTTAAAGGCCACATGAAGTTCCTATACTTTATTCATACACAGTGTATAAACATTTTCTGTTTTGTAATCATTCACACAGATTTGGTTTGCTTAACATTATAACCCTTAAAGAAAAACTCATATACGTTTAGTTTAATGTATGTGTCATGCAACCTACTCTGTACAAATGTATTTAACACTGCAACCTAAAAAAAAACCTCTTGAAGTTGTTCAGCATCTGTAAGTGTTTTTAAACGTCTGAAGGGTTTCCAATGTATGTATCAAATGTTGTCTTTCACTTAAATTATCTTGCTGCCGTCCATGTTGTCTCGACGTATATTTGATCAAAATCTTATGCAATTTTTTTTTTTTTGTAGCAGTATTTGTTTAATTGAGACATGCATTGAGTTTGCACACGTCGTTTGCATTAAAGGTCGAAAGTGTTCATACCTCCATGGCGTTGTAGTACGTCGTTTTTGCGTCCTCGTCCGTCTTGTCTGACATCAGGTACGATTTTATCAGATACTCGTAGAAGCTGTCTCCGAGTCCACCGATAGAAACATGATCTAAAGACGAAATTAAACGCAAATAAAGTCAACTATAACACACGCACCAACTTTAAAGGTACTACATTTATTTTTAAAGCACTGATTTAGGATTGTAAAAACACAAATGGTATACTTTTTATGCACAAACCAGTGGAAACATTTTAACAAACCTTTCAAAATGTAATCAGAGGAGGCACAACAACAACTGATAAAAGTTTATAAGTAAACCTGAGTTACAATGGCTGCCACAGCTAATCCACCTTGCAACCATAAAAATGCCCCAAACTCATTTCCTTCCCATTAACCTCTGGGGTCAGTTCAAATCAAGACGGTAACCGCAGCTAAACATTAGCCAACACAAAAATGTCCCAAACTATGTCAACCTCACTGATATTGAGCTCAAATTTGGAGTGGTAGGTGAGAATTCTCCCCGTCACCCATTCCTACAGCTAAAGGTTCACATGAGGTCTTTGTGTAAAACTTTAACATGAAATTAGTAAACAACAGGGCTGAACAATTTTGGAAAATATTTTAATTGCGTTTAATTTTTTTTACCTCAATATTGCGATTTAATACGCAATTATTTTCAATGTCTACTTCTCGTGTATTTTTCAACGAACATAATCAATAAATCAATCTGTTTCAGTTGCAAAAAAAAAAACCCACTGTCTTCAGCATCGCTGCAGCTTTTGTTTTGCTTTTTTTTTTGTGTAGCTCTGGGATAACTTGGTTAAAATGTGCGCGCGGGCATTCTGTACCGCTTATCCAGCAAGGCTGTAAACCCAGGCTTGGTCACTGTGTTATCATGTCTTTCGTTATGAACTCTATTATTGCTCAAGTTATTTCTGCGTGCCAATTGAAATTATGTTCATACGGAGTAATACCTTGGAACAGTTGGGTCAGTGATCCCTGTCGGCTGATACTTTGCTTGCTTTAAGTTTGTGGCGTTACCTCGAGAGGTAGCAACAGCAGCAATGCAGGTTCAAAATAATTCCAAACAATGAAAGTGCTGCCGCTCTTTGGTACCAAACTTTCAGATGTATCAGCTTCTGTCGAGCCTGACGCCATTGTGCGACCGGTTAAAGAGCAGCGTTGACTTCTCTCGCTCCCTGCTCGGCTCTGCTCCGCTCCACTCGCTCACAAGTCACGTAACCAGATCGAGCGAGCAGTCAAATTGCAGCCTTTGCGATGAGAAAATCTCATTTAATCACATCACAATATCATTGCAAATGCAATTAATTGTTCAGCCCGAGTAGACAATATGTATTCCTTTAAGGAATTCTAGTTTAACCCCTTTTTCAGTATATAGTAGCATAATGAAATATTTTTTACAGGCTGTTTAGAGTCATTGTGCATCTTCTTTTAGAAATTCTTTAACTTGTAGCAAACATTTTAACACCTTTCAAATCTGCAGGGGCCTAATTTAACAGCTCTTTAGTAAAATTATCAGAGTTTTGTAAATTAATAAGAAATTAGTGTTTAGTTTTAAAGTTATTTTGAGTCATGTCACCCAAATGAGGTAAACTGAATGATTAGATAATTTTCTCATTTTAGCTAAAATAAGTGGTTCTTCTCGTCGCCCTTCCTTGTTTAATCCAGAATCGGTCTCACCCAGATGAGTATGACACGACTCTTTATCTGTCCACTCATGCACCACCTTCACCGACTCACCCACGAGGTTATCACCGAGCAGCTGTGGTCGTCCTCGACCGACGAACGAGGGAGGCCAAAGTGTGTGTTTATTTATTATGTACGGTTTCATTTCCTGCATGCTCTTCTGCAACAATTAGCTGCTGTAATCATCCAGTTTAGCACCTCTTCGTGTCATCTTAACTAGTTTTTTTTTCTTAGCTCTTTTCAGGTAAATCGGACAGATCCAATTTTCTGCGGTAATTGAATTTCAATAACCCAGAGCGGAGGGAGTCATATAGCCAGAGTTACTGTGACGCTGATATTAAAATTGAAAGAGACTGATGGATTCAGACGAGCTGTAACAAGAACTTTTTACACGCACAGAGACCTAAAGTGTGTCAGGTGTGTGAAATGGAAAAAAAATAAATAAAATAAACGTAAATTTAAGTGAACAAGAGACTCAGATTGTTGTAACCCCGAGCAGTGCTGCGGAAACACAATCAGGTGGTGACAAATCTTTAACCTTAACAAGAAAAACCTCAAAAACTAGATTATCTTTACGATTTTATGTACGAAAGCCAATGAGTTTGACAGACTATCAACACTTATCCGTGCTTTAGGAACAAGTTTAACAGAAATATATATCCTGTAATCTCCAAGAACTTACGCTGGACCCAGTTTCCACTGACTGGACTGAGAAAGTTAGGATACAGGCCATGAGGTTTCTCAATCTTGTTCAGCAGCTTCCTGATGCTCATCACCTGCAAACACAAGTCTAATGGTTAGACTACAGGCTGGCTTGTGTAAAGTTAACTCGTACTGTGTCATCATGACATGGCTGAAAAGTACTTAATAAAAAAACCACATCAAACAATAAGAGTTTTGTAAGATGTTATTAGACTAAATGATGACGGTACACACTTAGAACCAAATTAAATGCAGTATCTCACTGTGCTTCGACTGCTGGAGATTTAAAATTGTGATAAAATTGCAAGAAATGACTCAAATCTTCAGTTTCAGGCTCACTGAATTCTGACCTGCGAGCCAAACACATGTTGAGAGGCCAATTATTAAAAATCACGACTTATTTTTGAGCACAGCTTGCAAGAGTTTATTTTGGGCCGTGGGCATTAATTTGTTGCCCACATCATACCTGCCTTGACCTGCTTTGTACCCACCTTGGCAGCTCCCCCCCACACATTTTGATAATCTACTAAAGCACACTTTTGAAATGCAGACAGCCTGATTTGGGCCAGTTTTTTAAATATCGTTTATCAATCCTGATGCGGTGTTTAGACCTGGACATTAGCCTCGGATGTTTTGTCAGAAAACAGCCAGAGGGGCGGAGTCTAAATGAAGCTCTGCACTCTGAAGAGGAGTTAGAGAAGCCTGTGACAAAACTGGGATGAGTCTGAGACACCCACAATGACTCTATTTTCAGAGAAATTTGTTGCACACATTTTTGAACATGTTTAAAACTCAAGCAACAATAGTGCACGTCTGAGCTACACACACAAAAAGACATTAAGAACCCTCACGAATGCTTTGACACACTTTGGAGACTTCCTCGCAAATACTATACGCCATCTAGTTGAAGCCCAGTGAGATACTACCTTAAAGCTGGTCATGCCATTCATATAAAACACCTTTTCTTTGTAGACTGGGTCGTTAGACAGCTCTGTCAGATGCACAAACTCAAGGTGAAGAGTCCCAAACTCGGCCAAGATGCTGCTCCCAGCTGAGGCCCAGCCCCAGCTCCAACTGGTCCCACTGCAACAGAGACGACATTCAAACAGGTTTAATGTGAGTATCTTTGATTTCACGTGCAGGCGTGTACAAGTACAAGCTCAGCATCAGCAACCCACTGGTCACTCAGAGCAGCTGGGTTTATAGGTGGATTGTTTTGAAACCTGTTTGGTTGAGTTTGTGTTGAAGTGACTCGTTGTGTTTAGACTGTACACAAAACCCACAGCAAAGTGATGAGAGGCCAAACACAGCTGGAGGATGCATGAGCCAAACTGAACCTCAAAACCTGAATGACTCAAAGCAATCTGGCTCCTTAGATAAATAATGTATTAACTAACTTTTTATGTAAGTGAATGTTTCTGTTCAATGCCCTGAAACGACTTCTGTTGTGATTGGGCACTATATATTGAATTGAATAGAATGAAGCATATCTTTAAACCAATATTTTCAGACACAGCTTTTTATTTTCAGTAAACATTACAACTCTGTTGTCTCAACGAATAAAACCTCCAACCACCAAACTTATCTGAATGGTTTCATTTTTTCCCCGCAGCAGATGTCTTTTAACCCTCACATTAAAAACGTTACTAGAACCACCTTCTTTCACCTGCGTAATATCGCTAAATTCAGAAACTTATCTAAAAATGATGCAGAAAAACTGGTCCATGCATTTGTCACGTCTAGACTGGACTATTGCGATGGTTTGTTATCTGGGTGTCCAAATACTTCTTTAAAAAGTCTTCAGTTGATCCAAAATGCTGCTGCCAGAGTCTTAACTGGAGTTAGTGGGAGAGATCATATCTCTCCAGTTTTAGCTTCTCTCCACTGACTCTGTCAAATCCAGAATTGAATTCAAAATTTTACTTATAACCTACAAAGCTCTCAACAACCTAGCTCCATCTTATATTTGATCTTATTGTTCCATATTTTCCTAACAGAGCACTTAGCTCTCAGACTGCAGGTTTACTTGTGGTTCCTAGAGTTTCCAAAAGCAGAATGGGAGGAAGATCTTTCAGTTATCAGGCTCCTCTCTTGTGGAACCAACTTCCAGTTTCTGTCCATGAGGCTGGCACATTGTCCAGTTTTAAGACTGGACTTAAGACTTTTCTCTTTGATAAATCCTATAGTTAGGGTTGGCGTGTTATGCTGCTATAGGCTTAGACTACTGGAGGACAATTTGACCTCATTTCCTTAAATGAATTGTTAAAATTTAATAATTTTTATTTGATACTATTTCTATCTGAACATGTGATCCTTGACCTGCCATTGTGTATCTGTTCTTACCAAACCCAGCCAGTCGAAGCAGTTGTTCGCTTGTCCTGAGTCTGGTTCTGCTAAAGGTTTCTTCCTCATGAGGGAGTTTTTCCTTTCCACTGTCACCTTCATGCTTGCTCAAGATGAGAGTTCTGTGATGGAGTTAAATTCAAAGCAGTCTGCTCCTCAGATAAATAATGTTAAATTATTATTTTTATATATGAATGTTTCTGTCCTGTGCCCTGAGACGACTTGTGACTTGGCACTATATAAATAAACTGAATTGAATGTACAGTATTCATGCACACCAAAGTACATTCTAAGCATTATTATTAGAAATATTTTGATGTAAAGACAATGTCATTGTATATTAAACATGACAATTATGATTTCATCTGATCTTATTGTATCTTCAACCAATTCTGTTTTCAATAGAATCTTATGACTTTTATCTTTATTTATTTTTAAAGTGTGCTGACCTCAAAACATTTTAGAGAAGCATCCTCAGGAATTGAGCTAAAATAATCTGGGTTTCATATTTGAGCAGAAATTCAAATCACAATATAGGCGAGGTTCGGTTAAGTTATGCACATATTTTTATGCTTTCTTTTAACAAAACACACATCAAACAATGCAATGAATGATGAAGACAGAAAATAATAAGATGAAAGGATGCAGGTTACTGATCTCACAAACATTAGAATTACAGTGTGTGTGAAAATATTGGTGAATTCTGTGAATCATGTGATTGTAGGAACCAGTTTTGTGTTTCATAATGAAATGCTGTGAAGCAGCTCAGATGATGAACTGGAAGTTGGCAGCAGAAACTGAGTGTGGATGGTTTGAGACTCTTGGTAGTTAAAATGAACTCGGGTGATGTTGATTGGAGCAAAAAATAACATTCAGTTAAACATGTCAAACACCGAGTCTGCTGAAAATAATTTCAAAAGCTCTTTTACCATGTATTATTCACGTTTTATAAAAGAAAACTTAATATTACAGTGTTGCAAAGTTACATATTCTTATATCATCACTCAGAAAATCTAAATTTTCTATAAATGTTTGTTTCCCCTCACAGATGATTAGCAGAGGCAGTAAACTACAAGAGAGGCTTTACATTCCCTGCAAGTGTTTTAGAAGGACGTCAGAAGCTGGATAATTAATTGGGTTTAATTTAGAGGAGGAGGAGATGCAGAAGAAGAAAAAAGAAGTGGCAGGCATGCGAGTTCGCACTCTGATGAATGCACTCATTAAAAGTTTGGATGATGCGTCATTAGCATCTCTCTTCGAGTCGTATGTTATTCTTTGTTTATGAAGAATCAATCAGCGAACGTAACGCAGAGCTGGAGGGCAGCAGGTGGTGTGTTTGGAGACGGACGTTCCTGAAGCATCACACGCACAAATCCATTAATCTTTTTAACCCCTTTAATGAATCCACAGCTTTTCTCAGCAATCAGGACCATAAAAACTGAAAAGATCAAATCTTTATCATGTCATGTGTAATATGTTGAGGTAATTCCCATTGTGCACATTTTAACAGGAGGGCTGGAATTATTTTTGTTTAGCTGACTGATGAATTTTGGCTGAACATTTTTTTAAACTTCTCAAATATAGTTCAAGCTAACAGAGTGATCGGTTTTAAAGAAAACATGAACAAAATGAGCATAAACTGTATTTATTTCAGCACTAACCTGCTAGAATTTTTGAGGGTTAAATCAATTATTTTGAAAGTTATGAAATATTTAACCAATTTATTTTTCATGCAGCTTTCCAAACATGTTTAAAGACATAGGTAAAGATTGCTACAATATTTTTTATTGGTTGAATAATTTGGCAAAATGTAGAGAAAGTGATACATTTATACAGATTTCATTGTACTTCAGTTAAAAAAAAAAAAAAAAAAAAAGTTTTATCCAGAGGGCTCTTGTTAGAGCTGAACTGGGACCCTGTATACATAATTTTGTTCCACCTCATGTACCACACGTTGTCATGATCACATCCTCTGTCCCCTGCCTCGCTCACAGCCCCTCATGTCTTGTTTCTACTCTGTCATGCTCTACTCTCAAGCTTTGCCTCTCAGCTACACCCACTCTGCGCTGCAGCTCATTCAGCCCTCGTGCTCTGCACGTTTCCCTGTTCCTGTCATCACCATGCCCACTCTGCTCATTTCACGTCAATCAGCGATCGTGCCAGTCTCATGTTTCCTGCCCTACTTAAGCCCAAAGCTATCGATCATCCTCTGCCAGATGATCAAACACTTCCTGGTCTCTGATATCCAACCATCTTGTTCTTATTCACACGTGATGCTAATGCCTTGTTCTTTGGATTTTCGACCTCACGCCTTGTCCTCTGGATTTACCGTTTTACCTGCTCCTCGTCTGGTTCTGCTCTGCACTTCTGATCCTGGTACGACAACTTTTTTCTGGCCTTTGGAATCTGGATTTTGGATTACCCCTTGGATCTGTTTAAAGAACTCTGACTCGCGGTGCTTGACCCCTGCTTCACCTTCAGAACGACGACCCTGGATTACCCCGCTTAAAGCACGCCTGTGCACCAGCTCTCCCTCTGGTGTCAGTGAAGACCTGTCACTGCAGCTGGATCCTGACTCTCTCCAGCAGCTACAAAATAAATAAATATACTGTTTTTGTTTTCACACTCGTTGTCTGGCTGTTTCTGGATCCAAAAATCACGTTTTCTGACACACATGGTGAAATGACAATAAACCTACTTGAAAGGAAAAGTGTCAAAGATGGGAACATTCCTGTTCTATATGTGCAGTTTATCACTGAAATAAAGTTGTATAATATCTAAGCTGCTCATAACATATGATCCCTGACTCAAACTTGTATTTTTTTGATTGTTTAAACGGTCTATTTCTCATAGTCATTGGGTTGATAAAACCGTGAGATACTAAAAAATGGTCAAAACTGGACAAGATTGGTAAATTCTGTTTGATCCAAACTACGTTACATGGTTGGTAAGACAAAAAGGCAACATGAAGGTCAATGACAGACAAGAATTTTGTTTGGACTTTGGAAAAGCTGAAGTGTTAATCTGCACTCACACATTTGCGTTGTTCTTACAGACAATGTGCAAAGTTCATGTATAATCAACCAACAAGAACACGTAATCAAGAAAGTAAAACGCATCTGAAGATTTTCTGTTGTATGCTTATAATGCCCAAATATTAGTTTTAGGGTGTCAAAAATACATTTGTTGGGTTTATCCAAGCCATACTAATACCTTCTAGTGGCTTGGTTTTGTGTTGTCCTGTTTTATCTCACATCAAACGTGAAGGCCCTGTCACACTATGTTTTAGAGAACATTTGTTGACTTGTGTAAATTTTGTCCAAAACGCTGGCATTTGCTGAAAACAGAATTTGAAAAAATCAACTGGAAGAAATTTTTGGATGTATACATACCATATTTCTAACAAGTGAACAAAAATATAACCTATAGCTTATCCATACCTTGTCTCTAGCTTATACGCAACATATTCAATTGTATGAGTGCTTTTTTATTATTATGCAGAGCTTATAATTAACATATAATTAACTTGTGCACAGCGTGTTGGAGCAGACTGTGATGAGAGCGGCCGGCACACAGTGACGTAAAGTATCAGCGTATGAAAAAAAGCCAAACATGCTGATGTAAGTCATATAAGTTTGGAATAAGTTAACAGCACGCAGATATACAATGACATAAGTTTGTCATGTGGTGATGCCAGAAAATTTATTTTTGCACATGCACACAATTTTCAGTGTATGCAGACGTGTTGCTGATAAGTTAGACATGATTACAGGTATGTGACAGGCAACCTTTGCATGAGTTGACAGAGGTCGTAAACCATCTGTGAGCATTCCCGTAGCCTATTTCCAACCTATGAGCAACTTCTAACATACCTGTAACTTATATCATAGGTTTTTGCAACGCATTGTAATATTTGTCCTTAAAGGGTTAATGTTCTGGTTCCGGGTGAGGGGTTGTCTAGGTGTGTGTATGGGACAGACAGAGGAGGAGAAGATGTGGAGGAGAGCAACTGAGCACCAGCGGTAATTAGCTCGGGTAAAATTGGGTCCAGCATGAGTTGCTGCTGTGTCAGCACCTCGACTCCTCTGATTTATTTATATTTTTGCCGTTACATTAATAAAAAGTGAACAACCGGCTCTGGCTCACGCGTTTATAACTTTTACAGTTGGCGCATTTGCCAGCCTTTTGGGGTTCAGACATGTATAAGGTCCAAATGATGTGCAACTCGTCACTCCTGCTGGGTGCATGAGGTGCAGAGGGCTACAACCATTACCACAGAGATGGAGGACCCTGCTGCAGCTTCCTTGATCACAGATTTGTTTGATGTTTTCTGAGGCATGTTGATCAATGCAAAATTAATGACTGGAGGTGCCGAGAGCTGCCCTTTTCTGATGTCACGTTTATCGTCGCAATATGCTCCAACGTGCTGTGCATAAGCTCTGCATAAGCAAGGTGCTCATACGCTAGAAATAAATTATGTGTACGTACACAATTGCCCACATGGATTCCGACGTATCACCTTATGAGTAACTTACATGTAACGTGTGTGAACTTATTCATTCAACCTTTATTTATACAGGTTAGTCTCACTGAGTCACGAAGACTCATTTACAAGAGAGACCTGATTTAAACAAAAACAGATGAGGTACAGACAACAATAAACATTCATATAAAAGCATATAAAATGAAATAAAAAACCAACTACATTATAAAATGGTGTAAGATACTAAAAACAGGAACATGTCTGCATTGATTTTTCCCATGAACTCAACAGTTGTTTAAAGTCCCTTAGAGAGGTCAAAGTCAAGAGTTTCAGATACTTTTGTAAGATATTCCATGTTACAGAAGTGGAGTAAGAGAAGGTCCTTTTACTAAATTTGGTCCGCAATGAGGGGACGCTGCAGGTAATAATGTCCTGAGAGCGCATGCTGTAGCTGCACTGACAAAGTGACATGTAGGAGGAGATGTAAGAAGGCAGCAGACCAAGGAGCGATTTAAAGATGAAAATGTACCAGCGTGAAGTTGATGACGACCAGTTGACCAATGAGTACAGTACCATGACAGGTACGGTAGTTACAGCCAGTTATGAATCTTAGCTCGCCATGATAGACAGCATCCAACATCTGCAGGGTGCTTGCAGGAGCGTTCATGTAAATAATGTCACCGTGATCAATGGAGGGAAGGAAAGTAGCAGGTACAAGGTGTTTCCTAGAGTTCCGAATTAGACAGGATCTATTTCTGAAAAAGAAACCCAGTTTAACTTTCAGTTTCTTTACTAGGTTTTCCACGTGGAGCTTAAAAGAGAGATGTGCATCAACCAAGATTCCCAAGTATTTGTAAGAATCAACAAATGCATAACTTACCAGTTATATACCTGTAACTTATACCTAACTTAGCAGCAACATGTCAGCATACGCTGAAAATTTAGTGCATTAACAAAGTTACCGGCTAATTGTACACTGCCTGGACAAAAAAAAAGTTGCCACCTGGATTTAACTAAGCAAATAGGTATGAGCCTCCTATTTGAACATTACTGCATGGACGATTATCTTTCAGCTGGCAACAAGTTATTTATCTCCAACTGGTTCAATGAGTTGCTTCTCATTTCTTAAACAACCATATCGAAAGACATTGCGTGGTCGTGGAAAAGATGTCGGTCTGTTTGAGAAGGGTCAAATCATTGGCATCAAGCAGAGAAAGCATCTAAGGAGATTGCAGAAACTACTAAAATTGGGTTAAGAACTGTCCAACACATTATTAAAAACTGGAAGGATAGTGGGGACCCATTGTCTTCCAGGAAGAAATGTGACTGGAAAAAAAATCATGAATGATCGTGATCGGCGATCACTTAAATATTTGGTGAAATCAAATCAAAGCAAAACAACAGTAGCACTCAGGGCTATGTTTAATATTGAAAGTAAGAGCATTTCCACACGCACACTGCGAAGGGAACTCAAGGGATTGTGGTTGAACAGCTGTGTAGCCTTAAGAAAACCATTAATAAGTGAGGCTAACCAGAAAAAAAGGCTTCAATTTGCTAGGGAGCATAAAGATTGGACTCTGGAGCAAAGGAAGAAGGTCATGTGGTCTGATGAGTCCAGATTGACCCTGTTTCAGAGTGATTGGCGCATCAGGGTAAGAAGAGAGGCAGGTGAAGTGATGCACCCATCATGCCTAGTGTTTAGTCATCAATGCAAGATCTTGGTGAAAAATTAATGCAACACTGGATGGAAATAGATCTTGTGACATTCCAGAAGTTTTTCGAAACAATGTCACAGAGAATACATGCTGTAATCAAAGCTAAAGGTGGTCCTATGAAATATTAGTGTGACCTTTTTTTTTGGTGGCGACTTTTTTTTGGGCCAGGCAGTGTATATCAGTGTGATGGTAATTTATTCAAAACTTACACCCAACTTATCCAACTTGCACCAGCATGCTTGTCTTGTTTTTCATTTGTTGGCATGTATTGCCAATGGCGTATTGTTTTTGTACTATTAGTGCTTAGCATATTTTTAGTTTAACGTTTTTCTTAGTTCATATCTTAGATCTTATTACTATTTTTCTTTTCCATTTTATACTTTCGTTGGATGTAACTCGGACCCTGTGTACACAATTTCGGTGTGTATGACAAATAAAGAAACTTTGACTTTGACGCTTGCCAGTGCTGCAAGGTGCTGTGTGACAGGACCTTTACAAAGGAAATATCTTACTAGCAGTTATTTGTGAAAAAAAAGTATGTTCTTAAAATTTCCTTATAATTTGACTGAAATGATTTTGGTCACAGGTAGTGTAGCGTGCACACAATTATGAACAATATGAGTTTTTCCATGGCCAATGCGTATCACATTGATTTTAAAAATTGAGTCCCTGGTGTTTGTCTCTCCTACACTGCGGTTGTTTCTGTGTGGGACAGTACAGGCAGCATGGTTCCTCCTGTCCATCTGGGCCATCGGCACATGTCGGTGATGTAGCAGAAATTAACTGAGGAAAAAGGTAATTAAGTCTGCCAGCAGCTGCCCAGTTTGGCTGCTGGTGTAATTGGTAGCAGGTGGATGACAGAGGTGCCAGGAAGGATCTTCTAAGATGATAAAATTGGAAGATGAGAGCAGCAGGATTAACTACTGTGGGATTTGCAAAGGAGTTTAAAAAAGAAAAGTCAATTAGGTACAAGAAATTTAGATTAAATCTCAAGTAAACCGTCTACTTTGTCACATTTTTACAAACGTTTGCTTTAATTTCTGTGTAATTTTAAAATGGTTGTATCAGAAAAGCAAGAGGCAGATTGAGTGGCACAAACACAGAGAAGTACAGATTCACAGTCAAACGGCTGCTAAAATGAAAGTGGCTTGAAGATGTGCTGCGTGCACATGACTGTGTCAATATGGGCTTTAAATTCGATGAGCAATGACTTGGAACAGATTAAAAATCAACAATACTCATTTAGAGGCATGTAAATATTATTCATATGATCTTCCAAAGAACTTATAAACACAGATTGTCATCTAAATGTCATCTGTGCTGTAAAGCTGATCATTCATCAGTAAACACAAACTGAGGGTCTACATCTATTAGTCTCTCAACATTAAGCAGAAGCTGAAGGATTTTTTTTTTGTCTGTATACATGTGATCATTTTTGATCAGCGCTTATATTGACTGTACTTTCTGCCGTACGCGTCGCACCGCCTAAGTCGCATCAGTCCAAAAATGTCTAATAAAGTGGAAAAAATATATAAATAAGTCACTTCGTCATATAATCTGCATCTATTATGCGTCACCACTGACCACCCGGAAACATGGGCCGGTGTTGTGCCAAAAATCGAATGGCTGCCAAAATGGCGGCCGCGGAAGCGCGCACGGGAGGACTTTAACAAGAATTTAACAAGATTAACATTTAAAAACAATTATTTGTTTGCTCGAAATTATAGCAAAGGTGCATCTAAGTTTAACTTTTCCTTAATAAATGCACTTTAATGGATAAAAAAAGCTTCATTTCAAAAATCGATTTGCAGCTGCAGAAGCACGCAGATGGAGGACCCGCTGTGCATTTCTTCAAAATTTAACAAGATGACCACCGAAAAGCAATTATTTGTTTGCTCAACATTATAGCCAAGTTGTGTCTCAGTTTAACTTTTCCTTAATAAATGCACTTTAATGGTCAAATCAGCTGCATTTTGCCTGGGTGGTGCAGAGAAACGCAGCTGATTTGACGTTTGCTCCAGGAGTTCCAGAGCGAGACGAAGGTGGCTCTATGGCAAGCCAAGTGTCTCATTAACAGCCACTTCTACCTATTAATGAGACACTTAGCTTGCCATAATGCTCTAGGGCTCTCTAGCAGCTGCAGAAGTTAATGTTTAATATTTTTCATGTCGGAATGAATGAAATCATCAGATCTCAGCCAAAAAAAAAAAACAAAAAAAAAAACATATATTAGTCGCTTTGGTGTATAAGTTGCAGTACTTGCAAATTTATGCAAAAGGTGCAACTTACATGCTGGAAAAAATGGTAGCTTATGTTGTGAACCAAACCAGCTTTTTTTTACTTTTGTGTCTCTCTTTTCTGACTGCTGAGAATAAATGTTGGGCAGCTGGAGGTGAGGACTGGTGTTAAAACTCACCTCCCCAGGTTGATGACTCCTCGAGGGATTCCAGTTGGGGTATTAAAGGCGGGCAGTAGCTTTTCTCCCAGCTCCACAGCTTTATTCTTGAACAGCTGAAACCAGAGAGAAGCATCTTGGTGAACAGGCAGCACACTTAGAGAAGGTGCATGTGAATGTTTTATCATTCCTTCTGTTTATATCTCACACATAAATAATTACAAAATGTGCTTCTCGTCTCAACCTAGTTAGAAAGAAGTCACAGTGACAGGCTGGGAACCAGAAGCTCTGAATGCGGTTCCCCACAGTTTTATATTTTTTCTTTTCAATCTAATTATATAAAACAAAGCTTGTTACAACAGAAGTCCAGCCAAAGTAAAAGCAACCAGATCTACAATAATCCATCTTAAACCACTATTATACCGCTTTTCCAGTGACTCTGAAGCCGATGTTGAGGAAGAGTTACATCATTTATGAGCTGAATTATCGGTCACAAAACCTCTGCTTTGCTGTGGGAAGACTTGTGTTTAAAAGAAAGAAGCTGTACTGAATCCCTGAAAAAAAAAAGATGTTTAATGGGACTGGAAGGCAACAGAGCAGAGGTGAAAGAGCAGATTCACATGAGAGAAAGGGACTGAGAACGGGTTCTGCAGGGGAATGAAGCAGAATCAGGGACTGCAGCAGAACAGCGACTCGGCTGGAAGATTGAAGAAGATGAGGGGAAAATTGGAGGAAAAAAATGGAGCCAGATGACATGTAACCACCGATCATCAGCACGAGGGTTGTTATTAGGGTACAAGAAGTCTCAGCTGTGAGTAGTTTGTGGTCCGCGGTGATTCTGATGAGACTTTCTGAGCTTCAGTGAACTATAGGAGCTAACATATTTTCTTCACTCCACGCATCTTTAGGGGTGTGAAGCGAGCGCGTAATAATGCATCAGAGTCAGTAACTGATCCTGTGAGCTACAATACGAGTCTAATTGTTTTACTATACAAACAAAATTGACCAATAAAATTAGGATAATCCAGCATGCAGCGTGTTCTGAGGGCAGCTTTTACTGAGTCACACAAAAGGGAAATCTCATGCAGTTTCTGTTTGCCCTCCTCAAGTGTAAATCAAAATTTCCTGACGCATGCTCAATAATCCAGGTAGAAAAATCCTAAAAAGTTAAATCTGGTCCTCTGGACATTCAAGAAAACAAAACAAAACAAAAAAAATGGTAGAATCGTTTCGTCTTTCATCCGAAAGACTTCCTCAGTCTGAGGTGCTGTATTCAGCTCAGTCTTATAAATAGCACCTTCTCGTAGTGTTATTTTTTTTTAACTTTATTTTTGATTATTTGTTGTGTTTTTGCTGCTGACTGTGTTGGTGAAACGTTTATTTTTGGTTTTGTGTAATTTTATTTTATTTTTTTACAACACATGACCTTGTACTGTTCATTTAAAAGATGCCTGTGTTTGTCATGTTAAAATATTTCATCACCCACTGGACAGATTTGATTACCGTATTTTTCCGACAATAAGACACACCAAAAATCCTTTAATTTTCTCAAAAATCAGCAGTGAGCCTTATAATCAGGAGCACCTTATTTATTAATTCTAGTTGTGCTTACTGACCTCAAACCAATTGTATGTGGTTATTGTGAATGAGTTGAATAAAGATTGACATACGTTTTGTTTCGCTTAATGCACCTTATACTCCGGGGCAACTTATGTATGAAAACAGACCTGTTCATTAATATTGCGCCTTATAATCCGAAAAATACAGTAAATTTGCATCTACATGTGAATACGTTTTGTAGTCAACTTTATTCAATATGGCTGCCACAGCTAAGCAACTGGAAACACAACAACTGTAGACAGTGAGATCGACTTTGGTCTTGTGCTAACTGGGATGATAAGTTGAAAGTGACAGTGCTAATCGTGCAAGGTCTCTTTTTACAACTGTGACACTGAGGTCAGCTCTGTTAGCAAAACATCTCGTGAACCACTGAACGAAATTTAATAAAACCTGAAGAAACCACTTCTCATGAGATGACCTTAGTTAAAACATCAAGACTCAGCCCTTAATTAACTTAGCTTTTAATTCAAATCCCAGTATGAAAAGTTATACAAGACATTTATATAGCTTTCTGTTCAAATTTCTTATTAAAGTTCACATTTTATATTTGAAAACATGTGAAATGTTCAGGCATTAAACAACAAAACATGCCACACTCTTGAAACAACCCCAGTGATTATGGCAGAAAGTAACTGCTCAAACTTAAACGTCGATGTTTGACACGCTTCCAACACAAAATTTTAAAACTAAAATCAAATTTATATTTGGCCGAATGCATGAACAATAATTAAATTGACCACTTCCACATAGAAAGAGGATTATGTTTTTATAGAGAGCTACTACTCCATGCAGACGTTGATAAAGATGCTCCTTTGTTCGTGCTGCTGTTGTTTGGTGCATTGTTTTATACTATTAGTGCTTAGTTTAGCGTATTTCTTAGTACATTTCTTGGATCTTATTACTGTTTTTCTTTAAAATTTGTATTTTTGTTGGATGTAACTGGGACCCTGTGTACATAGTTTCGTTCCACCTCATGTACTACATGTGATGTGAATGACAATGAAGAACCTTGAATCCTGCAGATGCCGTCAGAGCCGTTTGATGCTCATGAGCCCTCGCTACATTCAAATGTCTAAAAACGGTGGATCTTAAATAATAAAAAAAAGGTTTTACTATTTGACAAGTGTCCGACGCCACAAAGATGGTAATAAATGCTCGGTTTAGTTTTTTTAATTTGTTGATTCAAAACTGCAATCGCTATTTATAATTTTGTCCATTAAAACAACAAGAATATATATAAAAAAAAATGAGTTGAAGTTTTAAAACAAAACTTTTTTTATGAATAATATTTGAATATGAATTATGTTTTCTGCTGTAAACCAGATGGTCATGCAAAGACCTTGTGTGTGTGTTTTAGACAAATTCAACAAAATTAAAAAAAAAAATAAATAAATAAAAGAGGCAAAAAAGTTAAGACCTCATTTTTTAAAATGAATTTAGAGTATATGGTTTTAGCTGTTTATCAAGAGCTCAGAGAGAAGAACACAAGTATTGATGTGCGTGTGTGCGCACGTGTTTGTGTGTGTGTGTTGCGCTCCCTTCAGAGCCTCCTGGTTCTCTATTTTTATTAAAGTGAGCTTTAATGACCCTCCGCCTGCTCTCGCTCATCTCTCTTCGTTGCTCTTTTCTGCCGCCATCACTGCTCCGGCAAACCCACATCCTCACAAGTGCACACACACACACACACACACACACACACATACACACACATCTGTGGGGTGTTGATGCATCATTTTAACTCCGTAAAATAGTTTTGTTCATGCAATTATTCACTTTTAAATGAAGTGTCTCTGCTACATTAAGTAACAGGCAGACATGACGCAAAGGCTGCCAATTATCTTGCATTCATTTATTCTTGTTACCTTGTTTATAAATTAGTTGATTGATTGCAGTAAAAACCCCTTTAGCTGCCATCTGCTCTGTGATTTACTGTATGCAGCGCAGGAGCTAAATTAAAAGCTGCGTTTATAAATCCGTCTTCCCTGACATGCGGCCGGTCTCCTCAGCCTCACCGAGCCTCCTCCGACACACAAGCTTCATTACTCAAGTGCTGCTGTAAATGCACTTTATGTGTTTGCACCCCCCGCACGCGTCCGCTCTGTAAAGTTAGGCCATCGGTAAATTTCTGGGCTGGTTGTGTCCACAAGTTTTATTTTTAACATTCTCTGCCTGCTTGGCGTAAGAACGGAGGCTCTCTGCAAAGAGCAGTATTGATAGAAGGCGACGCGTCGCTTTCTTTACTTTTAGTGAAAATTCTCTGTGGGTTTGAAAATAGGAGGCCCGACACAACTAGCTTCTCCTTCGGCTCGTAACTGACAAAGACACTCATCGGGTATGCACGTCATCGCTCCTGCAGCAAACATCATCAGGGCTCAGAAAAAAATTAACTTTTCTTTATCTGCTACTTCTATTGACCTCTCAGCTCCTTAGAGAATGGGCTCATGTGCTTTGTCATACATCCATTTATCTGTGAATACTTTAAAACCATTTAGGCTATTTTGATCCAAATTTTACATTTATCAGTGCAAGCCAGTGATTAACATTTATATTTTTATCTGTTAGGATTAGAAAATGAAGAAATGTTTCCTTTAGCCCTTGTCTCTACCATCAGCCCAAACTCTTTGTTTTGCTTTGACGTCAAGTGGCCTGAGTGTGAACTGCATTAAGAAAAGAGCTCGTAAGTGTATTTACTTAATCAGAAATTATTTTATTTTTATATCAATCATTAAAATGTCTAGTTTGAAGTTATCATGATGCGTTATATTTAGTCTCATGATTGCTCTTCCTTAACCAGCATAAAATCTACCATATATTTGTAAATGTTAGTCACCGTCATATGTAATGGTATATACTGTAGTACTTTTCTATCTGATCAAGATACTCAAAGTGCTTTACAACACAACCTGTGCCCTCATTTACCCATTCATACAGCACTCTACTAGTGCTTTGGATCACATTCATACACCGACGGGACACACATCAGAGGCAATGAGGGGTTCAGTGTCTTGCCTAGGGACACTTCAGCATGGGGCTGCTGGTGGAATCGAACCCCCAACTCTTGCATTGGAGGACGACTGCTCTAACCACTCAGCCACAGCTGCCCCAGCAACTCCAATATGTGGAAATCTGCCAAAAACCCGACATCTGTTTATTCAAAAGGAACAACAAGGACATATAGACTGCCTGGAAGGTGTCCCATTTTGTTGGAAAAAAGGTAAACACTACATCTTGACATTAAACTGAGAAATGAAGAACATAGCCTTTTTCATGTTTAGTCAAAACAGTAAGTGATAAATATAATGAGTGCTTGTCTGTGGGAATACGTTTGCAGTGTTGCCAGATTGGGCAGTTTACCGCCAATTGGGTGGTTGTCATTCTGATTTTGCAGGTAGAAATTGCTTTGGGCGGGTGGGGTTAATTTGTGTTGATTTGGAGTCAGATCGGCGGTTTTTGAGTTAATAAACACATTTCAAACAATCATTCATCATTATTTCAT